CCTTTTCTTTTCTTTGCTTTCTTTTTTTTCTCTTCCTTTTTGTCTGTACTAGTAAAAGATATATCCACCATGTACCACGCTGTGCGGCTTGGAGACACCACTGTGTACTGCACCAGAAATCTACCATGCTGCTTAGCTTATGGCAGCTGGCAGCCAGCTCCATCTCATAGGCAGCTGTTGGGAGATGAGTCTCTATGCTGCTGCTGGCATGAGACTGTGAGACTAGGAAGCCTAGTGTGGCTCCATTTCTCTGCATTTAGAATCTTTAAACTTTCATAGGTCTGTGTGGATCAATGCCCCAGGTTGGGCGCTAATGTAGTCTGAAGTTTCTCCAGTCCCACCAGGCCCCTGCAGTCCTGTGGCCCACTTATAAAATAATCACTCAGAAACTTATATTAATTATAATTGCTTGTCTCTTAGCTCAGGCTTATTACTGACTAGCTTTTACACTTAAATTAACCTATAATTCTTATCTGTGTTTACTTTTGTGGGTTGGTACCTTTTCTCAGTTCCGCTGTGACATCTTGCTTACTCTGTGTCTGGCCAGTGACTCCTGACTCAGTCCTTCCTCTTCCCAGAATTCTCCTCATCTGCTTGCCCCACCTATGCTTCCTGCCTGGCTGCTGGTCAATCAGCATTTTATTTATCAACCAATCAGAGCAACATATTCACAGCATACAGAATGGTATCCCACAGCACACAGAGAACTACACTCTGTGGAATAGAATGTCTTCATGCCCCTATAGCTCAGTTTTTATTTTGAATGGTTATTTTTCATGCATTTACATCATTCCCACCCCTCCTCTGTCCAAATCCTCCCATGTCCCACACCACTCCCTCTTAAATTCATGACCTCCTTTAATCATTGTTATATGTTTGTGTGTATATGTGTAAGGAAACGGAACTCATAATTTTAACCACCCCCAAAGGAATCTCATGAACGATATGGTTTCACAGCACAATTTCATAAAACATTTAAAGAATAATTAACACTAGTTTTATACAATGTCTTCCAGAAAATGAGAAAACAGTCTGCAGTTCATTTTATGAAGTTACTATTGGCATGATGCCAAAATCAGCCAAAGAGAAAACAAAAATGGAAAATCAAGAAATTCTGTCCTATTCATTCTATTAGCAAATAGAATTCAGTGCTAAATTTTAAAGGAATTATGATTTACCTCTTGGCAGTAGGTCTTATTTTAGAAATTCAGGAATGGCTCAGTGTTCTTAAAAAGCAATGTAACCCTCTACATGTGCAAGATAAAGAAGAAAACCCACATTACACTATTAACTGGCACAGACACATGTCAGTATTTGTGATGAAAATAACCCAGTGGTCAGAAGAGAAGGAATGGGGGGCCACTTGATGGAGTCTACTTCTACTACTCTCACCTGCTCACCTTTGTGCCAGGGGTTCTACTAGGCAAGAAGGAAGGAAAAACATCCACAGGAAGAAAGGAAAAACAGCACCTGCTGTTTGTGAAATAGTATTCTCTATGTAGAAAATCTCAAGGAACTTGTTTTTAAACTTCTTGAAAAACAAGCAAGTCCTTCCAGGTCTCAGAATATAAGACAATCATATAAACATAATTATACTTCTAGCCATAAGAAATAAACATGTGACCTCCAAATTTACATATATAAAACCATTGTCAACTTCTCAATAAATGAAGTACATATATGTAACTCTACAAAATCTGTACAGATCTTACAGCTGAAAATAACAAGAATGTTGAAAACCAAATGTAAATAAATAGAAAAGGTAAACATGTTTGTGGATTAGAAAACTCAAGATGTCAGCTCTTCCTGTGGATACACAGATTCAACACAATTCCCATCAAAGTCTCAGTAGACTTGTTATAGACATAATTAAGGCTAATGTAACAAAAACACTAAACATCAAAAACAACTAGGCAAAAGAAATTGGCCTGTGGATTTCCAGAACTTTCATAAAGTGACAGCAGTACAACGGAGTATTGGAGGAGGAGACACATCTGTGGAATGGAGTAGATTGACACAAATCGGCTGAACCACCTTTAAACAACAAACAAAAAATGCTTAAATCCATCGTTTATACGTAGGTTAATTCAAAATGGAGCATGGAGTCTAATACACAATATCAAACTACAAAACTTTTAGAAAAACACAGGAAATCCCCAGATCTAAGGCTAAGCTAAATTTCTTATGCCTAATATCAAAAATATGATTCATAAAAGAGAAAAAAGTAAGTTGTACTTAAAATGTTTACTTTGAAAAAGACCCCTATAAAAAGCCAAGCACGGTAATGCATGCCTGTAATCCCAACACTTGGGAGAGTAAGGCAGGAGGATTGCTGCAAGTAAAAGTTCAACCTGGGCTACCTACTGAATACCAGTCCAGCCAGGGCTATATAATAATTCTGTCTCCAAAACACAAAACAACACAAAAGCATATTTAAAATTCTACAAAAGGGGCTGAAGAGATGACTCTATGGTTAAGAGCACTGCCTGTTCTTCCAGAGGACCAAGTTCAATTCCCAACAGCCACATAGCAGCTTACAGGTGTCTGTAATTAAAGTTCCAAGGGATTGGATGCTCTCTTCTAGCTTCTGAAGCTTCTAGCACCAGACATTAAGTGTACACAAATATGTGCAGGCAAAACACCCATACACATAAAATTTTAAAAAGAAAATTTTACTAAGTACTATGAAATAGGAAAAATTACTTAGAAACCATATCAAAATATTATTATCTTAATTAAAGAACCCTTCATGGCTAGAGAGGTGGTTCATCAGTAAGGTGCTTGTGGGCAAACAAAGACATGAGTACAATTCCCAGCACCCAAGTAAAAAGTTGAGTGGTTGATGCATGCCTATAATACTAATTAGTGTTGGAGAGGCAAAGACAGAGGAATGTCTGGGGCTTGCTGTATAATCAAACTACGCTAATAAAATAAATATCATACATTTTTATAGCAAAATGAAATCTTAGATACCCTCTAAGTCTATAAGAAGGTATGTCCTAGAGTGATTCCAACTTCAGAGTTCCTGTCTTGGAAAAAAAAAAGGTGGAAAGCACCTGAGGAAGACACCTAATGTCAACATTCCAAAACCGTGCACACTCATGAACATGTATATACACATATATACATACATAGACACAGAAAGAATGCTCCAATTCAACAGTTAGAAAAACATTTCAGGGCTAAAGGGATGGCTCAGCAGTTAATAGCATGAATTGCTCTTGCAAAGGACCTGTTTGTTCTCAGCACCCACACTGGGCAGCTTACAACTACCAGGGAAATCAGTCACCCTCTTCTGGCCTCCACAGGCACACAAACACACACACACACACAGGCATGCATATAATTTAAAATAAATCTTCAGAAAAAAAAAACATGTCATTAGAAAATGGGCAAAAGACATTAATAGGCATTTAGCTAAGCAATACATAGGTAGTGCACAACTACAAAAAGTATTAGCATCAGCAATGCAAGTTAATACACAATAAGCTATTGCTGCACACATATCAGAATAGCTAAACAAAAACATGAAACAACTGGAACACCATATGCCAGTGAGGATGCAGACCTTGCGTCATTTATATATCGCTGCTGGGAACATAAAATGGGATAACAACTCTTAAAAAAAATTGATAGTCTCTTAAGTAAGTATCTCATGGCTGGTGTGATAGCACATACTTCTAATCCTAGTACTTGGAGAAGAAAGAGTTAGGAAGACTGTAAGTTCAAGTCCACCCCAGACAACATAGCAAGAGTCTCTTTCAAAAATAAAACAAAAATAAATATATAACTACCATATAACTAGCAACTGCTTTCCTGGAATTTAATCCCAGTGAGTAAAAAACAAGTTCACATAAAATCCTGCACATAAATGTTTATTCAGCTTTATTTGCAATACCCATAAACTGGAAATAATCCACAGGTCCTTCATTGGTAAATCATTAAATTATAGTATATATCCATGCTACTGACTACTACTCAAGAAAATTGATTTTAAAAAAATTAACAGGAGAAACAGAACAACAATGAACCCCCAAAGAATTATACTGGGGTGGTAGAAAAATTAATTCCAGAAGGCTGCACATTGTGTGGTTACATTTACATAACATTCTTGAAACAACAAAATGATATCATTTGGAAGACAAGTTAATGTTTTCCAGGAGTTAAAGAGAAGTCAAGACAGGAGAGAAGTGAGCCCATAAGAACAACAGGAGGGCATGGTTCTGTATCTTGTCTGCACCAGTGGCAGTATATTCACTGTACTGTGTCACTGAGACTTTAAAAATGTCACATCTAGAGGGGTCAGGTGAGGGGTATATGCAATCTGTCCCTATTATTTCTTCCAAGTGCATATGATGCTACAATTACTTCATAACTTAAAAGTTTAATGAAAGTATAGCTAAAATTCCCAGTTAAATAGAATTCTAAAGAAAAATAGACTGTAAATAGCGACAAGTAATGATTTAAAAATCTCCCTCAAGAGGGAATCTTCTCTCTCTTAAACTCATTAACTCTTACTAGTTATCTAAAAATATCCTATACCATGTATAATCCATCTAGTCTAATGGAATAAACTACATTTTTTTCCATTTTTTTTTTTTTTTGGTTTTTCAAGACAGGGTTTCTCCTTGTAGTTTTGGTGCCTGTCCTGGATCTTGCTCTGTAGACCAGGCTGGCCTCAAACTCACAGAGATCTGCCTGGCTCTGCCTCCCAAGTGCTGGGATTAAAGGCATGCACCACCGCCTATCTGGAATAAACTACATTTTAATGGCAAAGTATAACCACGTCCTCTGGGTGTCTAGAACAGGATTGGAGTAGAACCAAACACTTAGAACCAGAGATGAAGATTTAGCTCATCTTCATAAAGCTGAAGATAAAGTCTTAAGGGAAAGTGAGCTCACCCAAGGGAAAATATACAATCTGCATTATGGCAGCATACCTAAGACCACAAAGTAGGTACACACTAGGCAAAAACTCATACATTTCATTTCTTTTCTAGACTTATTCCAACTGCTTGCATAAATATAAGAAGATACAGCACACCTTGGACACCAACCAGAAATCTCCCTTTTAAAACCCAAAGGAATCTTATGACAAATGCCTCAGAATGGCTCCGGTCTGTGCCTCAGGGCTCATTTGAAAGTTTATCACCCCTCTGCAATCTTCAGAAGAGGAAAAAGCATTCCGAACTCTGTGGCAGAGACACTGAAGATAAGACGCTTCCCAGCAGCAAACAGGAGACTGTTCCCCCACGTTCTAAAATGGATGCAAATATTGTCCAGGGCAACAGTCTTCAGCCTGAAGAGTTCATTCTGAAGAGCTCTGAGCAGATGGTTCCTCGTCCAACTAAAGGCAACAAGAAACCAAGTGAGAGTAATGGCCGCTCACCTTCCATCTGAAGCTCCACGGCAACAGTTCATCACGCTGACAGTTACTCTGAGAACTGTGGCTGATCGAGATGTGCTGACACAGTAAAAGTCAGCAGCCCCCCTCCCCTCTTCACATGCATATGTGGATACTGAACTACAGATTTTACATAGCCCATCTTCCTTAAAGGAAACATCTTTCAGAGGTTTTAAAAATCCAGAGGAAATATAGAAACGTTAAAAACACATATATTTAATTTGTATCAACATGGGAAAGAGCTTGAAACTGTTGATTTCTTCCAAAATTATGTGTGTATATAACAACAAAAAACTAAGACTTCAAGAAAGGAAAGAGATTTTAGTCCCTTTATTGAATCAGCAGCCAGCATCACTCCTGCATCTCTTTTAGATAGTTGGTATGCTAGAGAAAGCACAGGAGAAATAAACAATATCTCTCCCTTCTAGAAGAACATCATATCATTGTTCCTGTGAACATACATGATAGTTGGGCATAGTGGCATACTAGTAATCCCAGCACTTGGGAGGTAGAGGCAGAAGGATCGGGGATTTAAGGCTAGCCTGAGCAATATTTAAAAAGCAAGATATAAATACTAATAATAACTGAATAAGAATACATAGTAAAGCACTAATTTGTATACCTCCAGTTGATGAAAAAGCACATATTAAAAGATGCTAATTGAACAGACCAAAGGGAACCAAATGACATGGAAACATATTATGGTTTCAAAGTCATTTTACATCTCATAATTAAGCAAAGTTGTGAAAGATTAGAAGTCCCATTTTTCCTAGAGTCAGTGAGTGCACACCTCCAGCCTTTTATTCAAGTGGATACTTTGGAAGCAAGTCCTACACATCACATTTGTCATAAGGTGGTGAGCAGTCAGGCTAGGGGGTACAAGCTATAATCCCATCTGCTTAGGAACCTGACTCAGATTACAAGTTCAAGGCATGAGTTCAAGAGCAGTCTCAGCAACCTAAGAAAATCCTGTATCCAACCAAAAGACTAAAACAACAAGGAGGGAAACTGGGGGTGTAGCTCGGTAGAGAGAACTACATGCCTAGTGTGGGGAGGCCCTAGTTCACACCCCAGTATCACACAAAAATACAAATAAAAATACAGTGAGTACAAGGACAGATTCCTGCAGCATGTGCAAAGGAGTAAGTGTAGCAAGTGTGTCAGTCAAGATGAAGGTGAGTGAGCGAGGAAGCAGGAGACACAGCAGACACAGGTCACAGGTCTAAGTGGGATAAAGAGACTCTGCAGTCAGTGTTTCTAGTAGCTGAGAAGGACTCGAGAGCTCACTGCAGTGTTAAGAGAATAAACGTTATTTGTAGGGAATTCTGAGCATAAATTTCCTCAAGAATCCTTACACATGGTAGGAAACAACTGTTTTTCTCAGTAAGGACTGTGTTGTGGGGGTTGGTGTCTGGGATCCCAGGTCCCTAATTACTTTGCTAGGAATTCTTACCTTGGTAACTGACACCGTGATAGAGTACGAGCTCTAAAAAGTCAACCTGCCCCTGTTCTCATAAATCAGGGAAAGCTAAACTTCATGAAAATCTAAATTTTTAAATTGACATTTGTTCTTTGAAACTTCAGTTATATGAAAGTTTGAGACTACAAACTCTAGAGTTGAATATCTTTGTGAGTATAACCAAAGTAACAAACTGGTCTCTTGGAAGACTGGCGTGTACAGAGGTATTTCCTTAATTATTTTGCCTTTATCCTTTCCCTTATAATCCCCTGCCTTGTACCATATTTTTTAATGTCTTATTACATTATTTTGTGGGGGGTGTGAATGCTCATGCACCATTGAGTCATGTATGCCATGGTACACATGGAGGTCAGAAGACAATTTGCTGGAGTCCATTCTCCTACCACATGGGTACAGGGATGGTACTCAGGTGGTCAGGCTTGGCAACAAGTGCCTATACCCACTGAGCTGTCTAATAATCCCTCCCCTTATCTCTTATTTGCTATAAATACCTGACATGTAGACCATTTTCACTTTTCCTCATGTTATAATATTTAAATTTCCTAAATATGGTCTTCCTTCCATAAAGACCATTCATTCCATCTGATTATTATGTAAATCTTGCAGTACAACTGGAAAGCCTGTACTTCTCCTTGAAGATTAAACTCAAAAGTTCCCTTCTCTGGAAAATCCCCACTAGATCTCTCAGGAATGTATAGTAATTAGATTAATATGCTAAGGCTTTGAGTGGAATAAGTAGGCACTATGAGAAAGGATGAGTAATATAGAAAGCTGTAAACTCGAAGAAACAATGGCTCAGAATTAAAGACACTAATGAATACTGAGCTCATCCATCAGTTAGGCTTTTCTCCATTTAGGATGATGTTGGCTGTGTGTGTGTGTGTGTGTGTGTGTGTGTGTGTGTGTGTGTGTGTGTCGTATACATGTTGAGCTATGTTCCCTCCAATCCCACTCACTCTAGGACTTTTATCATGAACGCATGCTGGAGTTGGTCAAATGCCTTTTCTTCACCTATTGAGATGATCATATAATTTTTGTCTTTAAGTCCAGTTATATGACTTATTATATTTACTGATTTACAAATTATTTTCTTTAATTCCTACTCAGATTTTTATTATTTTTTTCCTTCTACTGGATTTGTTCTTGTTTTTCCAAATTCTTGAGATGCATCAAGTCATTTCTTGGGGTCCTTTCTGATTTTTTAGTGTAGGTTCTTAGAGCTATAATTTTTCCCTCTTAAGACTGCTTGTAAAGTGTCCCAGAGGTTCTGCATGTTGTATTTTCACTTAATTCTGGAATTTAAAAAATTTCTTTCTATAGTTCTTCTGTATCCATTCATCACTCGGCAATATGTTGTTTTAATTGCCATGAATTTGTGTAATTACTAGTGATTCACTTATTATTGATGCATTGTGGTCGGATATAATACTCAGAGTTATTTCAGGATCTCTGATTTTTGTAAGATTTTTGTGTGTGTCCTGGTGTGGGCAAAGCCTCCAAAATCAAGAATGAAAATTATATTTTCTTTCTTGTAAGTTTATTTTCAAAGGTAGTTTGCCAAAGCATTAGAAAACTAATTAACACACCTAATATACAAAAGTACATTTCCACCCCATAAGCACCCCAGCAATGAACATTTAGAACTTGAAGGCAAAAATCACAAGACCATTAACACCAAACAATAAAATTCTTAGGTGCAAATCTAACAAAACATCAAAATATATGAAGAAAAATTTTAAAAACTTGGAGAGATCAGAGCATTCAATAAATGGAGCTCTATTTTATGTTCATGGATGTGAAGGCCCAGTAGTGTCAAGATGTTAGCTCTTCACACCGTGATCCGTGGGTCAGTCTCAAAACTGCAGTGCATTATTTTGTGGATCTCAATAAGCTGTGTCTGGAGTTTATATGAAACAGACAACATTGCAAAAGATCTGAGTCAGGGGACTGACATTAATTGACTTCAAGACTTTCTCTAAAGCTACAGTGATCAGTGCTGGCAAAAGAATCATCAGACTAGTGAGACAAAATAGCCCAGGAAAGTTCTGGAGAAAGAAGCAAAGCAGTGTGATGGAGCAGTGCTAGAACAACTGACCACTCATACACAGTCTTGCTGTGTGTGGGCTCGTGCGCCCACACTCACGATAAACCCAATAAATGAAAAGATGTGCATTCCAGAAAAGTTAGAGACCTCATAATAAATGCAAGGCTGTATCCACTTCCCTCCCTTCAGACTTCCTCCTTCAGCCCCTCTACAAGTTGCAGAGGCAAGTTGCTCCAAGCAGGTGCAAGCAGGTTAGAGACATCCCTTTGCCACCCAACCATAGTACAAAGGCTCTTTCCCTTTGTACTGGAGCTAGTCACCTTTGCCCAGCTTCTTCGTAAGGTAGAAGTTCCATATGGGAACTGTCACGGTGAACAGACCAGACTACTGCCTCACCAGCACCTACTCTAAGAACAGCCATGTCATTCAAGACAAGCAACACTGTCACGAACAGCAGCTCCACAGAAATAGCTCAGATATCAGGTCTCGGGAAAAGCATACATAAGAGCAAAGAGTTCTGAAACTCTTCCCAAGGAAACTTAGCAGAGTGTGGGGAAGTTCGAGGGCAAAGTGATGCCTACACAGCGAAGGCTTTGGCAGCAAGAGGTTAGTTGCTTATTAAAAGCAGTAAGCTCGACCACGGACTCGGTAGATCATCAGAACCAGTGAACAACCGAGCAAGCGAGCCCTGTTGGAATGAAAACAGGGAAAAAAGAGGAGGAGCCAGACATGGTCTGTAATCCCAACCCTTGGGAAGCAAAGGCAGGAGGATTTCTGAGAGTTGGAAGCCAGTCTGAGCTATAAGGTGAGACAGACCGTGCCTCGCAATAACAGAAGGAAAGACAGAAACATTGCAGGGGGCAGGGCTGACTTAGACTCCAGTTGAAAATGGCACAGTGGTTGCACATTTAATTTTTTCTTTCCAAGACCTCACTAAAATGGCACTTTCTTTTAAAAAGCAAAAAGCCGCGAGGGCAAAAAGCTTTGAACTTCCCAACAATAACAGCAAAGGTGGACAGTGTGGAATACAGTCTCAACACTGTATAGGAAAATGAGTTTAACCAAAAGTTCTGTCCAACTTTGAACAAGCTTAAGGATAAAATAAAGATCTTATCAGTTTGGCAAACTTAAAAAAAAAAAAAAAAAAAAAACCTTTGGTGTCCCTCCTTTCTCAAGAAATCACAGAGATTAATTCTAACGAGCGAATAAACCAAGGAAGAGAACAGTTTCTGATCCAGAAAAATAAGAACTCAAACCTAGCATAGAGGCAAAGAGAATCCCTAGGAAGAAGTAAGACCTCAGTTGGGCACAGGGTGTCCTAGAGAAAGGAAGAGAAACCCAAGAATGAGCATTATTCGGGAGCTGTCTACTGTCTTTCCCAAGCTTTCCCAATTCCAAAGTTCCAGCGATCATGTGAGCAGCGAAGGCAAGTTGTAAGCCCGGGCCACAAGTCCCCTCCCTTCGACTTTGAAACTCAACGCTTTCTTTCTCTTTTAGTTTCAGATGGGATCACACTGCTCCTGTTGCTCCATAACTGTTGAGCATTGGCAACGTTTCCAATACAGAAAAACAGTCCCCCTTCCCTGCCCCCCCAAAAATGGGTCCATGGTATATCTGCCTTCTGAATGAATGAGTAGAGGGGACCCAGGTTCCACCTGTGCGCTGGCTGGGGGGTTGGCCACATGATCTAAGGCCCTCCCTAGAAAGATTCTAGGTTGTGTTTATCTGGGTTACATCCCCTGGAGCTCTGGAAGCTGGCATCTACTTTCCTTTCGGAAGTTGGTGTGGTACAACCAGCACCCTCACCTGGCTCACTGATCAGGTGGTTTGTGTGCTCAGGTATGGGTCATGTGCTCCGGTGAGCAACAAGAAGTTGTTTATGCTCTTCATTTCTGAAAAGTCATAAGACACAGGCAAGTTAAAAACCGAAAGTGAAATCAGCTGATAGTGACATCAGTCAGCACAAATGTACCAAAGTTCAGAGTTGTTTACTTGGACACTGCTGTGAATGCAGGCAGGACACTAGCTCCGAGCTGGGGAGTGCAGCTGCTCTCCTCTGCCCTAGTTCCTGGAGCCTGACATCAGAAAGCAGCCCAGGAGAGAATCCATTCCCCGGAGTCGATTTCCTGTGTCACCTTTTGATGAGTGTTCGTGGGCTCTAGCCTTGGTTTTCGTAAGTACCTCCTCACAGCTCCACAGCAGAGACAGAGGTGTTTGGGGCTCACGGAATTCACAGTCTAACAAGCAAAGGGGGAAGGCTTGCTGGGTGTTTGTGGCCTCCTCTCTACCGGGGTGTGTTCACCCTTTTACCTCTGTCCTACCCACATGCTCTTAAGCATCATTCTGTGTACCTCTGCCTCAGAGATGATGAAGGTAACACTGGGAAATTGTTAGAAACACACAAGCTGACTGCATGCAGCCGCCGGGTCTCTGCACAGCCTGTATGTACCAGTAAATATCTGTGGCTGCAGGACACACTGCTCTCCAGAAATAGACAAACAAAACCAGGCCACTACAGCAGCAGCTAAACTAATACCAGGACTTCAGAAAACACCAAGGGAAGGTCTGTGTTCCTGACTAAAAGAGAAGTATAGGATCTAAGAGACTTTAAGACCCTATGTCGTCAGAGACTGCATTTCAGCCCCCCAAAGCAAACTCACAGGGTGGGGGTCGGGGGTAGGGGGTGTCCCTTGGAACAGATCTTGAGAGTTTGGAGGTTTGGTTTTGTTTTTCCTAATCTGGGCTGATTAGTACCTTCCACTACACTCTTTAGTCTGTAAAAATCAAAGGAGTTGTTCAGTAAGGAGAGAAAGAAAACGGGGACAATCTTTCTTTTCTTCAAGACAACTGAGCACATTTTCAGCATTTTCTTCCCCTACCAGGTCTTCCTAATCTCAGGTCTGTATTTTACACACAACCTTTTCTACAGTTCTTACTTTGGTTCCCACATTATCAAATTACTAAGGCTATGGTGACTTGTTTTATAAATTTCACTTTTTCACAAACAGCACATAATTTCGGGAAGATTTTAATGTAGTCCTCACCCAGAAATACCAATAGCTAGCCAGCACTGGGTCTTTAACTCCTTAGTCCCTCCTTAGGCTCTCTCTCCCATGCCTCTTTCTGCAGATGACTTATCACCGCAGGTGCTTCTGTGACCTTCCTAAAAGCTGCATGCTGGCTCATCACCTTGATGTGCCATAATTAACTTCTAGTGTTGGGGGTTCAAGCTGCCACCTGCTTTATGTCCGATATTGTGATACCCATCCTGTGTTAATAAACCAGGAGTTATATTCCTGATACTGTCTTGGGAGAAGGTTATAAAAAGTGGGTTATTAGGCCAAAATACGTACAAACTTTACATTCAGAGTCACTGTTAGAAAGTCAGTCTTGCCAGTTGGAATGTCACCGAGAGGGTCATCTGTAGTTTTTAGAGAGAAACACGGAAGTTGTTACTTAGCATACCTTGGAGGCATTAGGAAAGATAGATTTTTTTTTTCATGTTAGCTACATTCAATTGTGAATTATTTCTATTCCCTCATTCATTTTTATATCATGCAGTGTTTTTGATGTTTGCATGAACATTTCCATATATTAGGTATATTAATTACCTTATAGTTATTGTAGATACTTTCCATGCTCATTGTCTTTTAATTTTGTATTACTTTTATTACAGGTGCACAGAAATCTTCATTTTTAAATAGCTAAATCTGTAATTTCCTTGTAGTTTTGATTTAAGTTCAGAATCTGCTTTCTCATTCATAAATCAAAGTTTATTTTTTCTAGATTTCATTTTACATGGATTCATTCTTGAATCCATGTGAAATTTATTTTGGCATATGGTATGAGGTGATGCCCTAAAATAGTTTGGAGTTTTTCTTTATTTGGGGGGGCTTGTTAATAATCACCCACTTTAGCATTAGCTAGTTAATAGAAGGTGTTCTCAGGCCTCAAACCTGATGTCTCTAGTGCATACAGCTCTTCCTGACACTCTAATATGGAACCATTGCATTACATATTCCCGCTGGTTTCTCTTCCTCACTTTGCCCTGTTCATTTCCTTCCCAAAGATTTTCAAAATGATCTCCTTAAAAATCTATGTGGTATATGTCTTACAAGCAGAGCACAGGCTCAGTTGAGGGGGGAGGGGGCATTTTGCTTGGCCAGTGTGTCTTTAATTCTTCAGGACCCCTGGCTCAAGGACCTCCCAAAGGCATCATTAGTGGGGTCAAGAGATGAAATCCTAGCCTGGGAAAGGGAGTGGCACCTCTCAGAACTGCAGCGAAGAGTGTCAGGGCTCAGTAATGAGAACCAGATCCCGGGAAGCCTGGTCCTAAACCTGCTGAGAGACCTGCCAGTGCAAAGTGATGGAGGTGCGTGCTCACGGCAAGGATGGCTCTCTACCTCCCAGGTCTCTGTAAACTTTGTTCCCTGCTGGGTTATGCCCTATGCTAGTGAGCAACAAAACAGTGGAACAAATAACAAGTAATATTAAAGGAGCCATTTAGTCAGCTACTTCAATGACTTGCCGTCCACCTCTTAGCCTAGACCATGCGTCTGGCTTTTTGTCACAGTCTCTTGGTGTAGTCATATTTCTGCTGGTCAAGCTATTTTTATTTATAGAGCAGAGCAGGCCACCTACACCACTAAACACACTCAAGCAATAACAATGCCCTAGCCCATTTTTGAAAAACTGGGACATGGACTCATATTTCTGCCAAAGGAAACATGACCCATTTCCCATTCTCCTTCCTTTCTATTCCTGTGAGGACCACACCTAAGGCACAAACACTAATCTTAAACATGTTTAGCCAGTGCCATTGGCCGCCTCTGACAAAGAAATGGGCAGCCTTGCTCTCCCTGAAGCTTGTCAGTCTACTGTTCTGACTTCACTCACTGCATACTCCACCCTCCGCCTCTACCTCAGTTTCCTTTTCTTCCCCCAAATCACTGCTTTAGCCTCAGGATCAGAGCACACATACACCTGCACTTAAGCATGTGCCAGGAACTGGTCCACTCACGAGAACAACTCATTTCAACCTCCCAAAGCCCCATGCAGAACCAGAAGGTAGTGACAAGAGAGAGACTTGAACCCAGGTGGTTGTGGGAAGAATTTTTTAACTGAACCAGAGGACAGTGGAGCGAGTCAAGAAAGTGAAAGAGGAAGAAGCTTATGAGAAGTCACGTGTGCCACTGCTGACATCCAGTCAACCACTCCTGTCATCTAGGGGATGTTTGTTGAGTGTGTTCTAGATGCCAGGAGCATCTAGAACAGAAAAAAAATGTAGATAGATGATAGATAAATAGACAGGTAGATAGATAGATAGATAGATAGATAGATAGATAGATAGATAGATAGATAGATAGATAGATAGATAGATAGATAGGACAAATAGGTAGGTAGGTAGATGTGAGAGGTAGGTGGATGGATGGATGGATGGATGGATGGATGGATGGATGGATGGATGGATGGATGGAAAACTAAACCTAGTAAGGAGAAGGCTGAGTTGGTAAAGTGTTTGCCATATAGGCATGAAGACCTGAGTTGGGTTCTCAACGTCCACATAAAAGGGTGAAAATGGTGGCCAGTGCTTGTAATCCCAGCACTTGGCAGAGATGGGTAGATAGATCCCTGGGGCTCACTGGCCAGCCAGCCTAGCCTAATGGGTGATCTCTGGGCCAATGAAAGACTTTGTCTCATAAATAAGGTAGATGGCATTCCTAAGGAAAGAATAGCATGCTCAAGGTTGTTCTCAGACCCCTGCACATGAAGATACAGCTACACACACACACACACACACACACACACACACACACACACACACACACAGGAACATACAATACAAAACAGAACAAAAAAAAAAAAAAACAAAGACAGACAAGCATTTGTTCCCTTGGAGTTCCATTCTGCTGGAGGATGGGGTAAGTGAAGTGTTTTACGTCAATGGTAACGTATGCTGATGAGGAAGGATGAGAGTACCAGGCTGGCCTCCTGGAAGAAGAGGATGTTGCGGTTTCCACAGTGCTAACCAAGGAAGATGTCCCTACATACAGGCAGGCGTTTAAGCGAAGCCCCGAAGGGGAGGGGTAACAATGAGGAAAGTCCTGAGCTTGTCTGAGATTTCCAGAAACTACCAGAGAAACCAGTGTGGTGAGGGAGGGAGGAGAGAGCAGGCGTACTGCAAGGCTGGGAGGGGGTGTGTGTGGAGTGGTACATGGAGGGTCTTACTGCTAAGAAGCACAAGGAAGGGCCAAGGATTTCTAGTGTCACCCAAGAAAAGAGAGCTCCTGGGAGCAGCAGTCCTTCACCCTACTTGGGAGCTTGCTCAGGGCACATGAACACCTGCCAGGCAGACGATATGACACTGTTCACAGATGAGGAAATCAAATGTTAGCCGTCTAGGTGGCCCATTCCTGGAGAGGGAACACTGACTGTGGGGACTGTCTGCATGCAAACGGCATTCCTTTTGGCACACTGTAAAGATTTATGAAATGAATGGAATGAATTTTCACTGGTGGTGGGTGATCTGATGTAAAAAAAAAAAAGAGCAGCAGACGGTTTTTCTGTAAGACTAGCCTAGACAGAGAAGGCAAAGTTCTGCATAAGACAACATAGAGAAAGGGGAGTTATGAGGCTCTTGAATATCGGGATGAGAACATGCTAGCTTAATGGTGATGAGGAGCAGTGACAGACTTGAAATTATAAATATGTGATCAGGAAAGTCCCGTGGTGTTTAAGATAATAGGCAGTTTCGAATGAAGGAAACAAGTACCAGGAATAGCTAGGAATGGAAGCTGGTGCTACAAACCTCTGGGGCAGGGAGCAACAGACAGCCATCTGTTGGGGGACATTCAATCACTGTGAACCCCAAGTTTGCATTTGCAATAATTAAATAAAGTTAACTTTGCATCTATCGACTAGATAGAAACTAGTTGACAGAAAGTAATCATAGAGCATCAGAAGGCATCCAGGAGAGATAGAGACACAGGAAGTAGCAGGGAGGGATCTGGAGTGGTACAGCTTTTTCTGGTTTGGCAAAGCAGAAACCCGGGTCTTTTGGAGATGCCACCAAGGAGAGAGGGTTAGCTAGTTGCTACTCAGCCTCTCTGAGCTCACTGGTTTTTACCCCAGCATTTGAATCTCTAGTCTTATTTATAAATAGAATGCTAAAGC